ATATATATCTCGCACGCTGAAGTTTATAACTTATTAACACTCACCCCACCAGGAGACTCGAACCCTGGCCCACAGAGTGGCAGGTACACACTGTATCCACTGCACCATACTTCATCATGCATATATATATATATATATATATATATATATATATATATATATATATATATATATATATATATATATATATATATATATATATATATATATATATATATATATATATATATATATATATATATATACATATATATATAGCAATCTTAACGGATTTTCTTCTTATTGAGTTGAAAGGGAACGGTTTACATGGTGCTATGACTGTTCCCACTCACTGGATAAGTGACATTTTCTACTACACTCGCCCTTCGCTGGGGAAAAGTAAATATTAGATGTGCGTGTCACTTGGTGCTGTATCAGCATAATCTGTGAACGCCCAGCCTTGAGGGAGTGGGACTAAGTCGTATGTGGTGTGAGGAGAGGGAGTCCTATCAGGGAGGGTTCAACGCTCCACAAGCAGAGAGAAGCTAGCAGCCAGAGGTTTGCTCTGTTAATTAATATAGTGCTGAGAAGGCCAGAATGTGCTGTCATCTTCAGCCGGAAACCACACTTTCCCGGTTACGTTGTAATCGTGGTACAATTTTTGCCGTTGAGGGTACACTTGTGACGTTACGCACTTTTAAGGAAATGTTATATGAGTATGTTTGCATATTATGTAACTCTTGGAGCCCTGATAGTGTTGTGTAGTGCTGAATGATTGTTAATGAGCAGGAAATAATGAATGCAGATTTTATCTACCTGTTTTCAGGTTTGGTGTTGGACTTAGGCTAATGAAGCTCAGACGGGTTATTAAGGCTACCACATTAGGCTAATTACAACTTAGCATGAATATTTCAGCCTTAATCATACTTCAGAACTATAGTTAACTCTCTGCTTAAATACTTCAAAAAGCTGAGTATGTATTCATTTGTTTAATTTAAAATAATAATTAAAAGAAGCCTTGAAAAACAAATACATATTCAGGTGTTCAAAGGTAAACCTGACATTTACATAATATAAAGAAACTAAAAATAAAATTATGTATATTCTCGCATAACCTGATCTTGGCGACCACTATGTAGCAGTCTTGAGATATTTTGTCTCATTCCAATTATGTTTCAATTCACTGTAAGGTTCAATGACCCCTTACTTCACTTCACACCTCATAATCTCAAGATTACGCTGAACACCTGTCTTGACACTTGACACAATGTGACCTGAACTGACATGACATGGCATTCAATATCAGGGCTCATGTCTCAGATAATCTTCACTGTGTAATTACTTACTTTACTCACACTAGTTATAGGACTATGAGAATGTTCTAGTCTCTGATTATGGGGTTTACTGCCCACCCCCGACGCAAAGCTTTCTTCAGCTATCTTAATCTTCAACACCATATCAGCCATCACCGGATATCACTTAATATCCATAAACTCCAGATTGCACCCTAAGCCTTGACCGGCTGTATCTTCACATACCCACCATTACATACAGCTTTCTGACATACCCACATATGGCAACGTTGAGTAACTATAAAGCACTTCATCGTGTCGAAAGCGCTGTTAATATCCACGTATCATACCCGTTATCATCTCCTTGGTTCTATCACTCGTCATCAGATTAATAAACATTTCTCATTGCAGTAAAATGAAACCCACTGAAATTATTTAAAATAGGATTGAAATTTATTTAACTGGGGTGTTGCTTATAGGAAAATATGTAATTAGTTACTTCACCACAAGACAATACAACTGGTTTTGCACATATCTGGTTCAGGGATTCACGAAACTGTTGATGGAAGTTTGATGTTTGGACACACATAGGCACCTTGGACGACCGTTGGGCTGCAGGACCGAGTGCCCAGTAGCTGAGTAACAAGGCAGATTCCCTTCAGCTTTTGTCACTCATTTATTGAGTTTGTCAACAATAAACTATATGGCGTTTATATGAATTTAGCTCACTTACCATTTAAATTTTTCAGGCATTTCCTCTTTCTCTAAGTCTTCCTTTTATTTCATTCACTCAGACTCCTTCTCTCCTCCTCCCACACTTTTACACAACAGCATCAAATCTGCTGCCTTCTCCAACACTGCAACTCATTGTTCTCATACCTGCCATATAACACCTTCTCCAAATCAAGTAAGCCGATACTTATCTCACCGGAATGAATTTTCATACAATCTGGAGTCAATTTTTTAACCTTCCCCTTGTTCCAACTAATCAGCTGTCAGAACTCTACTTTTCACCTCGCCATTAAAAGACACAACCCTCGCCCACAAGAAACATATTATACACTAAATTTTAACACATAGTGATACGTTTCTCCTTCTATAGTTGGTATACTTTCTCACCTGTTCTTTCAGGCTTAAATATATATATATTTTTCATTCTGCCCTTTCATATTTCACATGTCATCACACTTGTCAATTCCATCTTTCACATATTGTTTCACTCTGCCATTCAATCTTTCATATATTGTCCTACTATTACTTTCCAAGATACTTTGTCTGCTTGTACAATATGATCTCGAAATTTCATCTTTGAACCCATTTTTTCATGTTAAGCCACGAAAACTTACAGCTTTTCTCCTCTAAAATCTGATTTCGAGCGTACCTCTTTATGATACCTTAACTTATTGCTTACTCACGCATCTCTGACACCATATTTTTGTATTAGAACATTTAGGTACATCTGTAACAATGACGCTACCCTAGACCATGTGAAGGGGTACATAGTGTGTCAAGAACTATGTGGTGCTTAAGAATTCCTATCACACAGGATGGTTAATCATACAGGGCCATGTGATCAGCAGTCTACGGTGCATTATGAGGATATCCTCAAAAACAAGAGAGTGAATAAAATAGCAATGACACTAAAAATCCCATCTCAAGTACAGGAGCTGATGATATCCATCTCTCTTTCTCTCCACCCTATTCTCCTGGTTTCTGATGGAGTAGAGCACTTTCTCAACCACAATCGTTTATGATCTACAAGACATGTCGGTATTCGTCTTCAGGAATGTCAGCCTCTTGGGCACGGCTGACGCCTACTCCTCACTCCCGCTGACCACATTCTCCGATTCCATCGGCGGTCGCTTGGTGTACTTCTACCTTTGTGGTGAGTTTTGTTCATTTATTAGTCACCCCCCATACGCGTCCTCTGGCCGTTGGTAGGAATGTTACATAAGTATATAATGGGAAACAAAAAATTAACTCCATTATTCGGTTAATAAAGCAAATTATTGCTATTTATTTAATATTTACATTATTGGAATGATTCACAGTAACGTGGCTTAATACAAATAAACCAGCCCACACGTATGGGAATGAGAGTGATGACGTTTTAGTCTGTACTGAATCCTAATTATTTCCGTCTTAACTAGAGTCTCCAGAACGGACCACAATGTCGTCACTTACAATGTCATGTTTGCTTGAGTTACTTTTAATCATCTAGGGCGGAAAGGGAATGAATGGTAATTAGAAAAGATGGTGATCTCCTTCAGTGCTGGAAACTGCCATTATTATCTCGTTTGTAAAGATGATGAAGGGTGTACTCTTTGTGTTGTGCTGCTTTTATAGTTCTCATAAAATACAGAAATTTTTTATATAAATATTTTACATTACTCTGGTCAAAATGGCGTTATAATCGATATAATTATATTTGTCAACAATTGACATTCCTTAGGCGCTAGTTCTAGGGTAGGTAACGCATTTCATCGGATGAGTTACACGTTCCAATTCCATATGGATGAAAAACAATGCAATGGATTTGATACAAGGTGAGATCGAAAGGAGATTGCTGCAAACAGAATCAATTTCTTTAATCTAATATATATATATATATATATATATATATATATATATATATATATATATATATATATATATATATATATATATATATATATATATATATATATATATATATATATATATATATATAGGTACCACCTCTGGTGCCAATGTGGGGACCCATAGCCTCGGAGAAGAAAATAAAAAGTATTCAGAGGAGACCTTGTGGTTTCTCACTGAACACTAATATTATCTTCTCCTACCACCCCCATTCTTTTGTATGTACACATATATATTTACTTTATTTGATCTTTGTTACAAAAAAGGAGTTACATATGGGTTACAAAGATGGTTATCATAGGTTGTCGAGTTCCTCCAGCTCCTCAGATGGCGGGCAGGAACCCTGGATGCAGTGCGCATTTATATATATATATATATATATATATATATATATATATATATATATATATATATATATATATATATGTATATATATATATATATATATATATATATATATATATATATATATATATATATATATATATCATATTACGAACATGAGTTTTGGAGAACTCCTCTTTCAACTAAATCCTGATGCAAGAATAATAGTTAGTGGGATAGAAGCCCTAAACCAGAAGATAGTAAATACAGAATATGCGGTCATATTCAATGAGACATATATATAAATACAAACATGTAGACAAATACATATACATATTAATAATCTTTTTATATCATAAGTGATTCAACAACCGCATGAAAAGGACATGGGAGTAATGTTGGTCAGCAGCCAAATTTGTCATGAATTAGCACCTGAGTTTTTTCTTCATGAAATATTTACTTAAGCATCTTTTTTTTTCAATGTATAAAAATTTAACAAGTTAAATATTTTATTATATAAATAGTGTTGATGTTATCTAGCAGAGCTTCCTAAAACTCACATTAAAAGGACATAAATATAGTCTCCCCAACATTAGGCAATAAATATTTCACTATTTTGTTTATGAATATGATACTTAAGTAGAGGAAAGTTTAACTTCGTCAACAATACTTCCCCATGCGTCTTGTTATACCACACCATGCGTGTCGCTAGTTGCTGAATCTGCATAATCTGGCAACGTCAGGCCTTGGGGAGTGTAGCCAAGTTGGTCGGGTGTGTTGCGTGGCAATCATATCAGAGAGGTGTAGGGTAAGAAACCAGCCATACATGTCTGTTCTGCTCACTCGTGCAGTTACTGAAACAGCTTGCACTTCACTGCCAGCCGTCAAGCACACTCTCCCTTTCACATTGTCATATTGGCCTAGTGTGTGACCGTAGTGGTCAGCGATAATGTTATGCACGCTTAGAGTCTTAATTGGAACATGTGTATGTGTCAATGGTATGTTTCGCTCAAGACCCTGAAGGTGCTGTGTTGTTGTGAACAAGACCTACACGACTCTGTTATTATCGGGAAGTGATGATGCATGTGATACTGATCACGTTATTCTCTGAAATAATACTAAGCAAGAGAAATTGTTGAAAATCCAAAAATATTCATTGATAAATACAGATGAAGACAACATCGGAAAAGAACTATAAAAAGAAGAAATTACAATATTCATGTGCAACAAACAATAACAATTTTCGATGTTCTTGAACTGTGACAGGAATTTATAGCAGACTTCTAGAGGAAGCAGAAGGCATGTCTGTGGACGACACCAGCCGGCAGAAGACGAGAGCTCCTGACGGAGGCTGGGGCTGGATGGTGGCCTTCGGATCGTTCCTCATGCTGGTGAGTAGTACGGAGGCCTTCCGCCTTAGCTATGATTTATAATATATTTCCATTTCCTCTTGTCTTTCCTGTTTTCTGTTGCTATTGTTGAATTAATTAAAGTGATATGATGGCGGTAGCCGAAATGAGTCCTTTCTTTTCCTTATTAATGAAAGACACTTAGTCATGCTGTTATTGCAAAAAATGAGCTCTAAACTCAATTAGACAAAAACGCAGAAAAAATCCTGGTTCATCCAAACCAAGGAAACACAGAACAATCTCACCATCTGGCTAAATTGCTTCTCTAAATCATCCTCATTTAGAGAATTCTGTACAGTTCTAGGCACTCAACTAATGAACTAACTAATTGCCCTCTGACGTGCAGAGAAAGCCTGTAAACCGTGCCGACCATGAGTCACAATAACGTGGGTGAAGATATGGAATCCAAACCACACATCAGAAAATGAAAAAACGACAACGTTCCGATCTGTCGTTGACCATTATCAAGGTATTACACGCCTTGATAATAGTCCAGGATGGATAAAAATGTCGTCGTTTCTTTATTTTCTGATGAGTGGTATGAATATCCCACAAAACTTTGTTTCTAGATCCTGATGATCCAGCCCATCTTCCTGTTTAGATAATACTTATAAGAACGATGTGGACCATGCTACATATATTGACGAAGTGAACAATTAGAAATAATATATTGGTATTACTTAATTTGGTCAAATCAGGAAAAGTTTTGTGTTTAAGTTGCTAATAAAACCTAACCTTACCCAACCATTCTGGCTTAATACATGCTATATGAGGCCTAATATAGTAAATATATGTACTATAGTAGGCCTAGGAATATTAATGTTAGCATTTAGCTTTATTTTTCCTGATTATATAAAGTGAATAGTACCAAATTCTATTAATTTTCCATCACGTTAATATATGTGCGTTGGTCCACATACTTACGAAATCTACTTTGTAAACAAGAGGATGGTTTTGATAACTGACACGAATGAAAACGCAACGTCTTTCTGAGTTATTCACAAGTAAAATATTTATATAATTAATTAATTGACACGGTGATACGCCCACACACATATCTACCAACCTTGGTCATACCATCCTTATTCATAATAACCTTATTCATAGTTCATTGCATATATAGTTTGCTCCATTGTACGCCATCTTCTACTTACTTTTCACTAATATTTCTCTCACTACAGGCTCTGGTGCCTATGATATCCCTCTCCTTCTCCATACTATTCTCCGGGTTCCTGAGAGAACAGAAGGCTTCATCCACCACCATCGCTTGGATCTTCAACCTGCATATATTCAACTGGAATCTTGTCGGGCTCTTGACTGGTCCGCTCGCCTCAGAATTCGGCTTCCGGAAAGTTAGCCTAATGGGCACGGCAGCCGCTTCCGTCTTTCTTATACTGACTTCCTTCACCGACTCAATCGGTGGACTTATGGTTAACTTCTCCCTTTGTGGTGAGCCGAACATTGCTGTCCTTAATTATCTCTGGTTATTCACAACAAATACATGATTTCTGTCCGTGGACAGAAACATGTAGTTAGAAACCAACAATTCCCTGAACACTATCCAGATTCACCCACACAGAAGAGATGCGGCATGTCTGTGTGTGTGTGTGTGTATGTATTCCCAAATTTCCTCTTAATGTATTCCACACACACACTCATGAGTAACACACACAAGAGAAGGTACAACACGTGACAGGCAAATACATATTTCTTTTACACTGGGAGTGAGTGGGTGAGGAAGCGAAGAGTATGTGAGAGGCTTTGGAATGATTGTGTGAGGAAATGGGAAATGAATCTGAAAAGGCGGAGAGTGAGGATCTGCGAGTGTGTGTGAGGAAGTGGGGAGTGAGTGTGTATACGGATTCAGTGAGTGAGCGTGTGAGGCCCCTAGGGTGTGATTGTGGGAGGAAGTGGGGTGTGAGTGTGGGGGAAAGTTAGATGTAAGTATGTGAGGAAATGGGCAGTGAGTGTGCTAAGATGCAGGGAATGAGTGCATGAGGAGGCAGAGGAATTTGTGTATGAGGCCGTGGGAAGAGAGCATCTTGTAATCCACAAGTGTTGCAGTGCTTGATTCACTAGTTAATATTCACTCTTTACTTGAGGAGTGCAAAGGAAGTTACAAGTGTGCAGGAGGTTAGGCGTGGAGAAGCATGTCATAAAATTTATTGCATGTGTGAGGACGTGGGGGGTGAGTGTGGATATCACACGAGCACGTAATGTGATAAGCGCCAAAAATAGAGGGCAATGGTTGATAAAAACGGAGTATATACCTAAAAATACATGTCATGTATTTCACAGTTCATGAGTCAACCGTTGGTCTCTTGATTTACACTTCCCATAACATCCAATATCCTAACACAACCTGACATGAACAATGCAAACAATCACATTAACTACAGAATCTAATACAAGGAAAACGTAGATACAGTAGATTTTCTCATTAAAACGTAGATATTTGTGACTACCTAATTTTATTAAGAGGAGAAAAAGAGAGAGCAGAAGGGAGAGAGGTAGGCAGGGAGAGGAAACAAAAGAGAGGGAGTGAAAGAATAACATCATAACATCAGGTGACCGTTCCTCAGAGTAACGCATATAGCTACAGTCATTCAGAGTAACACACACAAGGATAACATCAGCGGCGTATGCAAGGCTTGCGAACATTAGAACTGCCTTCAGAAACTTGTGTAAGGAATCATTCATAACCTTGTATATAACATCTTAGACCAATACTGGAATATGCGGCTCCAGTGTGGAGTCCACATCTTATCAAACACAAAACTAAGTTAGAAAAGGTTTAAAGGTATACCGCCAGGCTAGTTCCCAAGCAGAGAGATATGAGCTACGAGGAAAGATTACAGGAACTATTCCTCACGACACTAGAAGGCAGAAGAGTTAGGAGAGATATGATCACTATTTATAAAATTCTCAGAGGAATTGACAGGGCAAATTGTCAGGTATAATAAAAGATAAACTGTTTAGCCCGGGTGACACGCGAACAAAGGGACAAAGGTGAAAACTGAATACTCAATTGAGCCACAAGGACTTGAGAACTTTTCAGTGTCAGAGTAGTTAACAGATAGAATGCATTGGGAGTGATGTGGTGGAGGCTGACTCCATACACAGTTTTAAATGTAGATATGATAGAGCCCAGTAGGCGCAGGAATCTGTACAACAGTTTATTTACAGTTGAGAGGCTGGACCACGGAGCCAAAGCTTAAGTCCCGCAAGCACAACTAGGTGAGTACAATTATGTAAGTACAAGGTAACCCTCCCACAGATAAACACACAATCTGTCCTTTCAGCGTTATCAGCTCCTTGATATTTTTAAATGCTTACATAACATCACAGGAATAAATATGTATATATATATATATATATATATATATATATATATATATATATATATATATATATATATATATATATATATATATATATATATATATATTCCAAAAATACAAAATTAACAAAATACAAAATTCCATATTTTTCTGATTTGAATTACTTTTATAATTTGAAATGACCGAATCAAGGTGCTTGACAATAAAATGTTCCATGACATATTCATTGGCTAAAAATAGACAACATTGTAATGAGAATTGTGGTTTTATATGAAAATGTTGCAATCAGATGCGAAATCATTATGAGTAGCATAATGAGTTCTCATTATGAGTAGCATGAGTGATACCCTCTGCCCCTTGAATACTTTATTTACATTGAATTATCTCCAGTTCAATATTATTTAGACCTCGTTATTTTCAATGTTCACTATGACATTAATTGTTAATTAGATGAACACTACACCAGGGGTCATGAATTTTAATTGCTTTATAATTATAATAATTGACTCTATAGATTTTAAATTCAGTCTCTATGATAATTTGTTGTACAAAACTTTAACATCGCTATAATCTAAAACTATAATGATTTCGCAATTGCCTTGATTCTGCCTATGATTACCAGGTTGATTGGATAATTCTTTTTTGTTAACTAATTAATCACTGATTACACACAACTTCCAGGGTAGCAATTTTAATTAATTTAATTCCATTTTATTTCCGAATGCTTTATAGTAATTTTTCTGGCAAAGACATCGTTTGTGTTGTCATCTCGACAGAGAGTCCCACACGCGTGAATTCTTTTTCACGAGTAGGTTAATGTTTGCATTTGCTCCAGATATTCGTTTGATAATCGCATTGGTTGAAAGAAATACGTACGTCTTCATAATAATACACTTCACACTTCCAACTTTTATCTTTGTCACTGTGATGTTCACTTGATTTGATGGAAGGAGGATTATATAGGTAGCGTCTGTAATATACATTAGTATATATTTATTATTGTTCTTTCATTTCCAAACAAAAAACGTAAATATAATATTGTATTTCCTTTCATACTCTACAGGAATATTTGGTGGCCTCGGATGCAAGCCCTGTTTCATACTGATCCCTATGTACTTTGATAAAAAAAGGGGTCAAGCAGTTGCTATTTTGATGGCTGGCATTGCTTTGGGTCAATTCATGGGCCCCCCTATAGTCAGGCTCTTGCTAGAGCATTATGCACTCAGAGGCGCTGGTCTGATCATAGGAGCCGTTCTTCTGAACAGCTGCGTCGGCGCTGCATTCTTCCAACCTGTAGAATGGCATTTAAAACCATATGATGAAGAAACTCCCGAAATATTACCTGTCGCCGATAAATCTATTGAAGGTAGTTACATGAATAGCGATGAAACAGCGAATGATGATGGTGATGACGTGCTTGGGAGAAAAGGACATCGTGTGATATCTGGAGAGGTTGGAAGGCGAGCAATGCAGAGGAGCTGCAGTTTACATTCTGATGAGTGCTCTTCTGTATCAATGGCTGTCTCTTTGATTGACCTGACTAGCATCTCCCTAATCGTCCAGAATGAGATCGACACCCTATCCACAGATAAAGAAGATGAAGAAGAAGAGGAAGCCAGTGGAACGAACAGAGCATTGCTGACTGCGTCTAGAGTGATTCGTTCCCTCATATCAGACCTCAAGATCTTCAAGTCTCCCAGAGCACTCATTATAGCAATTGCTGGTCTCTGTGTAGCTAATAGCTACTTGAATTTCCATATGATTTTACCATTTGCCATTCAAAATGCCGGTTACAGCCTTGAAGATGCAGCTTGGTGCATGTCCATCGCTGCCGTCGCCAACCTGGTGGCTCGTCTCAGCACGTCGAGTCTCTCAGACTGTGCCTGGTTCAACATGAGATTTGTTTACATGTTGGGGGCAGGAGTCGTAGCGGCTAGTACTCTAGGTAAGTCATGAGTGTGATACTAAGTCTCGTTCCATCCTCTGTTCTAGGAACGTCTTGACGTTTTTGACAGGCTTCGTTGTGCCTCCTAATAATCTTGTGTGAAAGTTGTAAAAAAGTTGGTTTTATCATTGATATATACATATATATCACGTTAGAGTGATATATCTGTGTATCAGAAGTTATGAAGTTCTCATTTCTTGTACTCTAGTTAAGGCCCAAGTCTTCACTCGCAGCTCACCTATGATACAAGCCGCTCCGATGCGGCTTGTGTTATAGTTAAGTCTTGAGAATGTCTCGGCATAGATTGTTCTCAACTTAGGTTGAGTGCAATGTAAGAACTCTTGTATATATACATTAAAATATATTTAAATATATACAAGTTCTGAGCGATGGAGGGTGTCTCATTGCAGTTTGTATTTTAAGTCTCCATTGCGGGGTCTCATTAATAACTTTTAAATAACAGTAGCATTTTCAAACTTATCTTAAAAAAAAGTCCTTTTATAACATATGCTATCAAAAGTTGACTGCTTGGTGATACATAATTTCGTTTTGATATATACACTAGTATAAGGGAAAACATGATGATAAAATATCAATACACAGACTATTTTTGAGGCATGTTACCCTGTGGTTTACCCCCCCTATAGTGTTCAGCTTCCTCAAGGACCTGACGTGGATGAAGGTGACGATGGGAGTGTGGGGCTACGGTGTGGGGACCAATATCTCCCTCTACACCCTCATCATGGCTAAGTACATGGGTGTCCAGAACATGGCAGCGATATTTGGTTGCCAATCCCTCATTATGGCCTTCGGTCACATCACGCTTGGCCCGCTCTTAGGTAAACAATCTCTTTTAGTTCCTGTTTGTGGACATGATCAGCTATATTCTAAAAAAATGTTGGATATTCTTTTAAATGGCAACTTCAATCATTTGTTGCTGGTAGTGAAATCCTATTTTTTTTATTATTTTATTTTTGTTGTTGTATGGAGGACGCCAGTCTGATAGTCTGATGTTATATTAAGTATTAGATCTCATGTCTTAAAAATTGCAGGCATTACTGTAATTTTACTTATAATTTTCACTCTGGGGGTATTATAGAGTAAATACTGACCCTAGCACAAACTACAATGTGACTAAATTGCTTGTTGCATAATGTTGAAGCTGTAGGGTGACCTTCTTGAATGTTATATTAAGTGCAGATCAAGGTCTCTTTTAAGAGACGGCAGCCGTTTGATATCATTGCATCAGAATTTCAAATACACAGCCTACATCACAGTCTAGTCCAGTTACAAGCCTTGTTTTATATATATATGTATATATATATATATATATATATATATATATATATATATATATATATATATATATATATATATATATATATATATATATATATATATACATATATATATACATATATATATATATATATATATATATATATATATATATATATATACATATATATATATATATATATATATATATATATATATATATATATATATATATATATATATAATATATATACATATATATATATATATATATATATATATATATATATATATATATATGTATATATTTACTAGTTACATGTTGTAAATTATAATTAAACTTCAACAGGTTTGATCCGTGATTTGAGTGGAAGCTACGCCGTGGCCATGTGGGCGATGTCAGCGGAGGTGTCGATATGCGTGGTCCTTTGGCTCTTCATGCCCGCTGCCATCGCCTACGACAAGAGAATAGAGGCGCGTGCCTCTTCAAGACATGTAGACAAGCTTGCAGAGTAAGAGTCCGTCGACAGCATCTCGCCGGAAGCGACGGGAGTAATGGTTACTGTGAAGACATGATGCGTGTCAAAAAAAATATATTAACCTGCGATGGTTACTCTGATTTTAACAGGTTAAAATACAGCAACGCAAGAGACAGGAACAGGAGTATTATGGTTTTAGGATACAACCGATCAATTATTAGTGTAGCAGCACTGATTATATATTGTAATTTGAATAAACCAACTTAAACAATTTGGATCTATTCAGAATATATTGTCGTTCAAACAATGAATATTGCTCGTGTAATGTAATATTCTGCATATATATATGATCAAGACTGTTCATTGTAATGAAATTTAAAGGTAAATTGCGGTAGCAAAATAAAGATAACTACTGTAGAATACTATAAATATGGAGAGAGCAGTGAGCATAGTTTATTATAGAACATTCATATTGATATATGACCTAAAATGTGAGCTAATATTTGCTCCTTCGGTTTCAGAGAAATCTGATATTAAATGGATTGCTATCAATAAACACAATAAATATGGCAGGTGACATATACCAATTGATCACTTTCGTGTTATTGGTTGTGTGTAGATATGTTGAGGCTCTTGACAGTGTCTGGATGATTGTGCATTGTCAGATGCCTTGAAAGAGATGTTATTGTTATTGCCTATATATTGGCCAGCCTATATATTGAGATTGTTGGAGCTGACAGTCCCATTGTGGGCATGTGAAGGCAAAGAAGACATTTGTCTCTTTCAGCACCAGAATAATCGACCGATACTTGTCACCTGTCATATTTATTGTACTTAATGATTGTAATCTAACTTATCAGATTTTCGTAAAACGGACTAAATTTATTAGTTCATTAGGTCAACTTACTGACCATTTCCAGGAAGCAACTCAACAACCGCTGACTAACTCCCGGGTGCCTATTTACTGTTAGGTGAACAGATCTATTAGATGGATGGAAACGTGGCAAACCATTTCTGTCCCTGCCGGAATTCGAACCCCGGATTCCTGATTGAGATTCGAGAATGAACCCAACTGTACTACCAAGACCCTGTGCTGAGGATACCTGCATATATAGAGACAAACTGCGATTGATTAATATATTTGATATCGGATTATTTATATTCTGAATCCTTTAAACGCATGTTATGTCGTAATTATTTATGTTTCGTAAGTAATTTATATACTACAATAGTTTCCCGCCTCACTTGCATCATATTATGCTGTCATATGCAAAACTTTCCTAGAGACACGTATAAGTCTAGTTATTCAGCCTTATGTTTACTTGTATGCTCACGTGCCTTGTTTATTGCAGTCAGTATATTAGTTGAAAATAGTTTTCTTTAAATTCATATTATTTAAAATCATATTTAAACTCATATGCAATTTGTTCCCCAACGGTATCATCTCCAACGATTCATTCATATTGCACTTTAATGATATCATTATCTCTGCCAGTCTCAGATTTGGGCTCCTCTTTCACCCTACACTTCACACCCTCTCTCACGCAGACAGCGACTATTCCTAATTTCTTATCAATTGTGAACATGCAAGATCTTTTATCTTTTGATCTAGTACTCGACCAGTAATTCCCTTGATCAGTAAGCTTAGTTTCAAAGAGTGCTTTTATGTCTAGCTGTACAGTATTCAACAACACTCTGAGGCCGTATGCAGTGTTTCTTATACTCTTATAGTGAGTATAGAACACCTGTTGGCAACGTTTCTGTAATGTTTTATTATTTAGAATTATCTCCATAGTTTCCTTTGATTTGGAAACAAATAATAGTCAAAAAAGGGTTCAAAGGTGTCATCAAGATTTGACTCCTTTTTCAGTTGTATTATTTTCCATATGTTTACAAAAATACTAATAACCACTAACAGTTTACAGTCTTGCACACAGTTTCTTCTAATGAATCTTCCAAACCTGCTATTTGTACTGATGATTTTGTAAAAACAAAACAAAAACAACAACAAATCAACTTATACAATATACAGGTGACAAATAAAACGAGACAATACAAATATTTAATTTTATTTCTCATTTCGAAAATGCAAAAATAGTATATAGATGTTATTTATATATATTATCCAACGGTATGGAATCCTGTTGAATTGTTAACAGAGGACGTCAGTCTCACTCCTTCTCCTCAGGTAAGCAGAGAAACAGTTTTTGAAGGAAAATGCTCACCTTATCTGTAAAACAAAAAATATTTTGAATTTGAAATATTCTTCTATGTAAATGTCCCCCGAAGTGAATTCGCATAACATTTATACAGTATTACTTTACAATCTAATAAACTGTTTTCGTCCAAAATAAAGGCAATATTTGGTCATATCAAAGATTTGTCTCTTGAGCATTTAAATTATAATACTGATGATCATCATAATTTTCCTCATCGTCACACCCATTCCAAACTGGAATGGGTGTGACTGACATTTACATAATGACATTTACTGGAAATAACTGACCAGAAATGAAGACCACGGTGAAGCTAACGTCTGATACCACAGATACTCACTTCACACGCTCAATTACAGACATGATCACGACTCTCGAGATTCCTAGTTACTATACCGAAGCAGATAAAATAATAGCTAGTTGAAAAACAAAAAAGTATGAGTACAAATTAAAGAACTAGATACGAGATTCTTGCGGTATAGAACCCAAAGCTGTGTGAAAGATGGCTTTCTAGCAAAGGAGTTGAGACTAACCCAGACCCGAAGAGGAGCAGCGTGCGAGGTCCCGACGGTAGATGGTGAAGTAATAGACGGGTAGACCCGTGACGATGACAGCGACGGCCCCCATCACCTCCATCGGGGCCATCACGATGGGGATCAACATGAGGAAGAACTGCGTCAGGAAGAACAGCACTGGGAGCACCAGCCACACCTGTGGGAGGCGAGGGAAGGGATATAATAGTGCCATAACTCAAGCAGTAAGAGGCAGAACAACTGAAATTATTAAAAAAAAAAAATATTATACGGGAAAAACAAACAACAAAAATACTAATTGAAACTAATTCGATGTGTTTGTTGCGTTAGAACAAGGGTGAGTGAGAGGGAGGAGTGCCACGCAGACTTAGACCAAGCGCAGTGGAATGTGTTTAATAGTGTGAGGTTTGCTTGCTCGTGAGCGATGATTTGCTCTTGGTGTTATATCTTATCAACATCATTTAGGAATTATAACTCCTCGAAAATAACTTACAGGCACACCAACCTGTACACTCAAGTCCTGAACTCGATTCACTCAAGTTGAATCCTAACGTAGACTCTGAGTTTGAATGCACTGAGATGTGAAATACACTTTTCTGTGTTTACTTTGGAGAAAAACATTTAGTTTTTAGAGTTCAGCTTAAGGCCTATAGCGAGAGGGCTTAATTAATAAGGTCGCCAATTCCTTACTGATCAACCAGAAGGTATACTTTAGTCCTGATAATAATCCAGGACCAAAGTAAACTCTCTGTGTATATACATCAAGAAGCTAAGTATATATCTCAGTAGAATAAGGCTCCTGACTTGTAATTGCGTTTTTCTACGGATATGCACCTTGAACTTCACAGTATTTGGTTGTACATGTATCAACAGGCTATTACACTCACCTTGAATGGTCTGTGCCAAAAAGGGTATTTATATCTGAACCAGAAGAGGGCACAGATGCAGGCGAACTGCATGGCGGTGGCGCTGAAGGCGGTGTAGTTGATTAGGGAAGATATATCCGGCACCAACAACATAATCAAAATCGTCACTCCCTGTCATAAGAAACATAAATATGAAACTGCAGGAATTAATAAGCGATTAATGTTATTGGCAATATTGCTTTAATTGAAGACAGATACGCAGGTCTTTTAACAAGTTCACCCTCCAACCATCTAAAACTTCCTTTCTTTCTCTGTTCTTCTCTTCCATATATATATATTTAGATCCTCTCTTCCTATCTACCGTAAACGAAACTAACGTTGAGAATGGCAGCTGGCGGTGGCGTGTAGTTCTTCACACTGACGAGGGAGAACGCCTGCGGGAACTGGCTCCTCCTCGCCCCGACAAAGATAAGACGAGTTTGGGTGAAGACGGAGGCGTGCGTGCTGCCGAAGGTCGAGCACATTACGAAGATAGGCATCGTGAACGCCAGCTCGCCCAGCATCCGAGTTCCATATGTCTGAAAAATGCTTCAGCTTTACCATACATAAACGTGTGTGTTTGGTGTGTGTTACGCACCTATTTGTGCTTGCGGGGGATGAGCTCTGGCTCCCAGGTGCCTTTTTACTGCTAGGTGAAAAGGGGCATCAGGGTGAAAGAAACTCTACCCAATTTATTTCCGCCTCCGCCGGGGATTGATCCCCGGACCCTAGGACTACGAATCCTGAACGCTATCCACTCAGCCGTCAGGTCCCTTGATGTGTGTGTGTGTGTGTGTGTGTGTGTGTGTGTGTGTGTGTGTGTGTGTGTGTGTGTGTGTGTGTGTGTGTGTGTGTGTATGTGTGTGTGTGTTTGTGTGTGTGTGTGTGTGTGTGTGTGTGTGGTGTGTGTATGTGTGTGTGTGTTTGTGTGTGTGTGTCTGTGTGTGTGTGTGTGTGTGTGTGTGTGTGTGTGTGTGTGTGTGTGTGTGTGTGTGTGTGTGAGTGTGTGGGAATGCATTGGTCTCTTGCTTATATATACTGGAACCACGATTCAGAGAACAATATGTCAACAAACCAGATTCGTTGAATCAGGAGTTTGTTTTCGTTGCAACCGAAGATGTCCTCAGAAAGGAATTTGTTGACTAAACCACATGCCAGAAGATGAGGAGACGACGACGTTTCGGTCCGTCCTGGACCATTATGAAGTTAATTGTAATGGGATAATGGTCCAGGACCATTATCCGGATCAAAACGTCGTCGTCTCTTCATATCTGGTGTGTAGTTCGGTCATCATATCTTCAGCTACGTTATTGTGACTCATCGTCTGCAAGAGATTTGTTAACATTAAACACAAGAAAACTGCCTTTTTATATACTGTAGTTTGATGAGGTTACTAATGTTATTATTGATTTGTTTGCCATTTAACTGTATTCTTATATCTCATGTGTTTGTCATGTACAGCGCGCTACACCCATTTATCCACAACTTCTGGAAACATACTACACCTCAAGGATAACTTTTCCTAACCTTTAATCAAGTAGTGTTTCTATCCCCTGCTCCCAAAGGCTCTCTGATATATACTTTTAAATTAGAATGCGGTGTTTGCTCTCGCGACTTCACTACCTTCACTTTTAATGATAAGTTACTTTAATTATCTTTCTGAATGTCTTGGCTTGCTAGTTTCCATTTATTTGTTTTCTAAACTCTAACCGCAATCCCACAATTATTTGTTTCTGGGTGGCTTGTCGATTGCACTGATATGATTTTTTATAATAATTTTTGGTTATTTGTCTCATGTGATTGTTTGTGTTTTTGTGTGTTTCCGTGCGTATTAAGGGGTGGCTGCAGAAAAGAAATCTCTAGTGTTGGGCGTTTCACCTAGCGATTTTTTAGGTTGAGGCATCTTACGAGAACGTGTTTCGAAGGAAAGTTCCATAATGATCATATCACCTTTTTTCTTGTCATCTAGTGTTGCATTGTTACAACCTTTTCTCATTGCACATGTTGTTCCTGGCCCAGTAGTCATTTTATGGCATATGCCTCTGCGCCTTTTATAATTTTTTTATTGATTTGGACACCATATATATGTTATACATTTTATTTAAGGTCCAATATGTATATAGTGAATTTTTTTATCGGCGTTTACTATAAAAGACTATTAATAAATATCTTAATTTGCTTGACTTATTTGCTTTTTTCACATACTCTGTGGACGGAATATGGCGGGTTTGACGAATTCCACGCTTCGTTACAGAGCAGTTATCCATATTGATTTACATTTGTTATGTACTACGCATGTCAGGGTTATTGTGAAGGGTTAAAATTGTCAGGGTTATTGTGAAGGGCATGCTATTCAGGTCTTTATTTATGCATTCTTTGAACTCGCCGTGACCAAAACATGGGACTACACTTGCCGGGACCAAAACATGGGACTACACTTGCCGGGACCAAAACATGGGACTACACTTGCCGGGACCAAAACATGGGACTACACTTGCCGGGACCAAAACATGGGACTACACTTGCCGGGACCAAAACATGGGACTACACTTGCCGGGACCAAAACATGGGACTACACTTGCCGGGACCAAAACATAGGAATACATGCTCCGTGACTATAACATCCTGCCACCTACCATTGCAACAGCACTTGAAGCGAGTAGCTCCACAGGAGTGAGGACAGCGAAGTAGGCGACGTTGGTAAGGGTGTAGATGACGGTGATCAGGGTTGTGGAGAGGATGATGGCGAGTGGCAGGTTCCTGGAATGATGAGAGAGGACACATTAACGCGTTCTCTACTGGACAAGTAGGATCAGTAGAAACACCGTAAGTCCGAGAAGATAATATTCGTGCTTGTTTGGTGTTAGGCTTACTGCCTACCAACCTTTGCAGGGTTAATAGGTCATCATAAACACTTTGGCTGACCAACTAGCAGGTATACTTTAGGCAAGAATATAGTACAGGTCTAAAGTTAACTCTCATTGTATATACACAGAGAAGCGGGGTGCTCCTTTTCGTGTATATATTTGTCTACTGTTGGATAAGAGGTGAACGTGTATATATACAAAAGAACGTGGTCAATACATCTATATATATATATATATATATATATATATATATATATATATATATATATATATATATATATATATATATATATAGGGCATGTATATATATATATATATATATATATATATATATATATATATATATATATATATGTCGTACCTAGTAGCCAGAACGCACTTCTCTGCCTACTATGCAAGGCCCGATTTGCCTAATAAGCCAAGTTTTCCTGAATTATTATATTTTCTCAATTTTTTTTCTTATGAGATGATAAAGCTACCCATTTCATTATGTATGAGGTCAATATTTTTTTATTGGAGTTAAAATTAACGTAGATAT